GGGGAGCAACAGTTTTGGTGGTTGCGTTGCATCGCTCCATCACCCTGGCATGCTGGACATTTTTGGGTACGACTGTACCGGTACCAGTACCGTATGATACGGTATTACATACATGTAGTAGTAGCCGCGAGCTCTCTGCTGCTAATAGCTATCATAGATCATAGTTCATCATGTTTATAAAACCCATACTTTGTGTACGCTGACGCACAAGACGGATCACTTTGTGCACGACTGACGCAAGAAACCCCCACTTTTTTGACGCCTGATGCATTTAACCCTCAATTCTTTGCACAAACTCACCACTTTTTTGCACGACTGACTTAGAAATGCTCAACTTTTTGCACGACTGGAGCAAAAAGTCCACAACAATTTGCACGACTGACTTAGAAATGCTCAACTTTTTGCACGACTGGAGCAAAAAGTCCACAACAATTTGCAGGACTGACTTGAAACGCACAACTTTTTGCACGACTGGAGCAAAAAGTCCACAACAATTTGCACGACTGAGGCATAAACTTTCGACTTTTTTGCAGGACTGACTTGAAACGCACAACTTTTTGCACGACTGGAGCAAGAAGTCCACAACAATTTGCACGACTGAGGCATAAACTTTCGACTTTTTTGCAGGACTGACTTGAAACGCTCAACTTTTTGCACGTCTGACGCAAGAAACCCTCTACTTTTTGTCACTTTGACGCATAAACCCTTTACTTTTTTGCACGTCTGACGCATAAGCCCTTACTTTTTGCACGGCTGACAGCCAGGACTTCTGCGAGGTTTCAAGATCTTTATTTTTTAAAAGACCAACTCGCCAATCAAAAAACTACTACGGTAGCTAGCTAGCTAGTCGAGCGGAGCAGCAATCATGGTGGTTGCGTTGCATTCCCACATCACCCACCAGGCATGCTCAACATTTCTGGGTTGCACAGGCAGCCGCGAGCTCACTCCAGCAGTTCAGGAAAGGCTGCAGAACAGAGTTTCATGAGGATACAGAGGGATGCCAGGTCCAGCCCTGTGGCAACGTTCTAGCTGGTGTCTGCCACATTGGTATGTCATGGTCTCAGGCTGACGCTTAAGCCAACAAGAATGGTTCAATCAACCACGCAACACAATCTGTAGTAGGGCACAACAACAACTAGAGCAGAAACAACACACCATGTAGAATCCAATCTCCTAAATCCCTTTGTGGCTGGCTACAAGAACAGCAGCCGGCCAACGAAATGATCGAGATCCAGCCCTAAAACGGTACGGGCATCCTTTTTCAGCAATCCAGTCAAGAACATGGGAACTCCCGCTTCCGCGAGCAGCGGCTCCATAGGTTTCTCCATCCCAAGGACAACCAATATCGCGAGCCCATATCAAACAAACTGCCAATTGGCCACCCCTAGGTGCATCCCATGGGCAGCCATTCCAATGGCCTCAGGCTGCAGCAGCTCCACACGTGTTACCATTTCATGTTCATGCACATATTTGAGGCATTCCACTTGACCACCTTTGGCAGCTTCCTCACATGCCAAGTTGTTTTTCCATTGGCAGCCAAAGATGTGCTTTCATTCCAGGCGTAACCCTTTTTATGAGCATACTTCAATATTTTAAAGTGTCGCTCCACCTTGGCAGCTTCAGAGCATGCATCCTCAATAAATTGCCAGCTTTTGTCACGAGCCCACTCCAAAGGTTCAAATGGCTGTCATGTACAGCAGCAGCACAGGTCTTCACATCCCCGGGTCAACCATTATCATGGGCCCAAGTCAATATTTCCGTGTACCCACCTTCCTTTGGCAGCTTCAGACACGCCTCTTTATTCCATGGAGGGATGACATTCAACAATGTCCTTCTCGGCTCACCACGTTGCTCGTAGGTCTTCGAGCCGCCGTGTTGCCTAAGAGCATTGATTTAGAAAGGTGAATTGAATCACAGCTACGGTGCATGTAGTAAAGAGCTCCAGCTTTACAAAAGGCAAGCTCCTTATCCCCGTCAAGTTCCAAGCTATCGATTGCTTGAAGCGACGTCGCTAGCTAGCAGCTGCTGCCTTACAACTAACTCTTGAAACTCAAGGGAAACGTGGCAGCGGCATGAAGTAGCTCATTAGATGTTTTAAAGTTACTAATCATTGTGTGAAACCTGAAACCTGGCAGCGGCATGAATAATGCAAAAGGGCCAGCTCTGGCTACAAGAGCGACGTATGATAGCGACACAGTGTTGTGGCCTCCTGTTAAAGATCACCAATCAATCTACTACTAGGTAGCTAGCTAGATACAGTAGTCTAGCTAGAGCCATAACAATTTTTGTGCTTACCAGTGGTCTGCCTCAAAACCTCGAACCTCGAAACCGAGATCGACTCGAGTCCTGTACCGTCACACATTCCGAAGTCTGTAAAAGTCATTGTTGCAGTTGAACTGGCAACCACGGACTTTGCAGCAATACGGTATGATTTATTTATTTCTTTACTCAACACGGATTCTCTGCTTCAGTTGATGTAAAGCTTCCCTAAGTATCTTTGCAAAAGGAATCCGATCTTTTAGGGGCAGCAGCTAGCAGCTTATGCACTTTTAAGTACTTCTGGAATAGAGGCTGGAAAGTGAGTTGTTTTATTTAGAGGGAGGAAGATGGAACTGCAGGAGAGTTTTAGTTACTGTTGTGCAGGTTGTTCGACTGGCAGCGGGTGTTTCTTTGTTGGACCTCCGAACTCCATTCTCACTTTTCCATTGTTGTGCTACATTTTACGCTGTTGCCTACCACCAGATTTGAAAACATCTGGCACCATGATGACTGAACTTATCTGTGTTGGCAGCAACGATGGGCAAGGGCTGAACGAAAGCGTGGGTATCTTGAAGACAGCTAACGCACGTAAAGATGGACTGGAAGCTACATCCATCAACATGTTGTCAAAGGTGGATGATCAGAGTGTCGTGACCGCTCCTACCGTGGTCTCATCGTATGATGATGACTACGAGGACGGATGTGATACCAGTGAAACCGACAGTTGCTGCTTCCATGTCTCTTCCGACTCTAGTTGCTCAGTGGGCTTTCATTGCGTCTCGTTCGACTTGGTTCCTCAAATTCGCGAGGTTCCCAACCGATTCTCATATACCGGAGACGAAATGGAGGCAACCTGGTACGGCCGAAGGGAGAAAGATGTCATGCGGGAAGCTGCCTTTGGGATTGCAGAATCACTGGACTACTACTACTTTCTAAATGAATTTGGACAACCGGTATCCACCAAGTTTCGGGGACTCGAGTCGTACACTGTGGAAGGATCCAAGCAACGCAAATTGAACCGAGTAAAGAACTTGGTGTCTGTGTTACGAGAACAACGACGACAAAGGTCTTGTGGAGAGGTTGTTACCAACGGACCCGTGCTGCTGGAAGCTGCTTGCCGCTCTGTGTCTTCCCAATGCGAAAAACAAGCCTACGTGCAAGGGATTATGGACGAAAAGGATGCACTGGGAACGGATAGAAAGCCCGAAGCGAACGACGAGAGTCCCAGTGTGCTGTTGCATTTCACCAAGCTCTTGAGGGATTTGGGGCAATCGAGTGAGCACAGCTAACTATTGGAGCTTGCTGGGTGGGGGTCTTCGTTCCTTGATGCTTCCATACACATAAAGCATAGCTGCTACTTAGCTTGTTCTTGTTGTCGAACAATTAGTGTAATAGTCGCCTCATTGTTGGGTTACATTTTTATGTAAACACCTCTGGACAGGAGTAGGTCGTAGCTGATGACTCCAGCTGTACCGGTGCCGTAGACTGTCTGTTGGCACAGCTCCGAAGCAGTGAAGGCTGGGGCATTCGGAAGGGAATGTTGCCGACGGTGTCATGCAGAACCAATGCAATGGCATGAAGGGAGCTTTTCTGCTATCATCATGACAGCATCTTCCACTAGAGGGCCCCATTTGTAGTAGTTGCAAGCTACTGTGACGAAAAAGTTGAGAATTTTGAAAAAGGTGATAACTCCTCAGAATCAGCAGCAGGATTTTTGATGGTTTGGGTTAGGGTGATTGCAGAATTCTCAACTTGATCTTCAGATTTGTGTTGGAGCCAGTAGGTTTGAGAATTCTCAACTTTTTCGCTGGAGTCTATAACCCCCAGATCCCGTAGGTCTATCGATTTCCCCAGTACTGAAGTGGCCTCTACAGGGCTGTGGTAGGCTTTCTACGTGTGACATCATCAGAAGGATGCACATGTTCCTCTACTTAACCGTTTTATTATGCAAATCCATGTTATAAACTGCTCTATCTCGCCAAATATGTACTCAGTCGTTTAAGCAAGGGTTGAGTGAAGTTTGTTGAACCATGCACAAGTCCACTTAACAATGGTTCCACGATGAGACGATTTTGAGGGATTTTGGGAAAAATCGATGGATAGGTAGGATCTGGGGGTCATAGAGTCAGCTTGCTAATATGCGTGGCCGAGCTACCGTCACCAGGACCGTCCGACGGTTTTCGCTCAGGCTTTAAAACTGCCACCACTGGTTATCGTTTTTAAGGGCATGTTAAGGGCATGTTTATTTAATTAAAGGCATGTTTAAGGGCATGTTGACGATTTAACGGCATGTTTTAAGGCCATGTTTATTTAAGGGCATGTTCATTGGTGATAAGGGCATGTTCTATGGTGTTTTAATGAAGGCTTAAAAGCATGTTTCGAGGCATAGAAGGCATGTTTTAAGGGCATGTTTAAGGGCATGTTGAAGATTCAAGGGCATGTTTAAAGGGCATGTTTCAAACGGTCATCAGTCGTGGAAAATTTGAGTTTTTTAAATCCTGAGTGATAACCGTCGGACGGTCCAGGACCTCTGTGGAAACTCGAGTCGTGCTACTTTTCGTCTCCTAAATCCTTTTGATCGTCTCCTATTTAATGGATTTCGTCTCCTAAAAATAGGAGACGAAACGGATCGTCTCTTAAATCTTTTGTCTCCTCTTAAAACGTCTCCTATTTTCAACGGATCGTCTCCTATTCTCAACGGATCGTCTCCTAAGTGTACCATGTAAACTGTATGGTATCGTCTCCTAAATCTTTCGGATCGTCTCCTATTTCGAAACTTTCGTCTCCTAATTGGAATGTCTCCTACTGAATCGTCTCCTAAATATAGGAGACGATTGCTTTCGTCTCTTAAATCATTTCGATAATCTCCTATTCCTCGGAGTATCGTCTCCTAAGTATTTTGCCACGAATGACGTTTCCACAGAGGTCCAGTGCAGTGGGCATGATCATGGTCAAATAGAGCTGTCCCCGTTAAACGTGAGCTTCATCTTGAAGGGTGATAGGAAGAGATACCGTGGGTAGAAACGTTCATACCAACGTCCTTCCAAACATCCCTCAAGAAGAAGCTCACGTTCAACGGGGATAATATTGCAACTCAACGATTTATAGATTCTTATCAGGTTGCTAGCTGGACTACTGAGGAGGAGGGAGATTCTCTTCTTGGTCAGAAGCGCTCTCGTCGAGCCTATCGAGCTCGGCTAGCAAATGCGCATGGCGATCGCGGAGTTGCTTTTGCTCTTCTTCGGCTTGATTCATTTCTTCGGCTTGTGCGCTCTCGAGGGCGGCTAACTCCATATCCACCGCGGCTATCTCCCTATCGCGCTCATCAGCTTCCAGATGCGCTTCGTGATCCAGCATTTGCTGTAGTTTTTCTTTGGCTTCAGCTTCGTAGGCAGCGATGCAGCTGTAGTGGGCCAAAATCTCCGCTTGGCCTGCACGGGTTTTCCCTTCCTTTCTTTCCGCCAATCGTTCCTCGTCAGTGCCGAACCGAGCATTCGCGTTTTTGGTCAGTTCTCGTTTGTTGGCCTGCTGCTGCTCAATGCGTTGGATATCTTTTTGTCCGACAATGTTTCAGCTGGTTGCACTTGTCCATTACGTCCGCAGGGGTTAAGGGAGGGCGACTACTGGCACGTCCACTAGTAGCGGTGGGAGGGGTCTTAGAGTTACCAGCACCGTCTGCACCAGAGGGACTCCCTTCACCACCACCCTCCAAGCGATCGCCCTTCCCAGTGGGTACAGTCGTACCGGCATCATGATCGTACATAGATCATGGTCGTCACAACATAGAGCCAGCAAAAGATATCAAGGATATCCCCGTTGAAAGTGAGCTGCATCTCGATTTGAGAAATGCCGTGGGCATGAACGAAAGGATTCTGTTGGAATTTGAACTCTTGGTCGATCAGACAACGAAGAGTTGGTTTTTGTCAGCTCAGACTGAAGCTTTCAAAAACTGCACCGCCTTTCGTTTGCTACTAGAGTAGCGTTGACGCGCTACGTGTATTGTACTATGGTTACCTGCGATCTACGGATTCCAAAAAGATCGGCTGAGCTTTGCTACATCATGCACTCTACGCATTCCAAAAAGATCGACATGATGGCTTTCGGCAGCAGTTGACTCCCACACAAAACGCTGTGAGACCTTTCGACTGGGTGGACGCCGTGTTGAGTCGTGTGGACGCTATTCTTCGATTTGGTGGACGCTAAACAAGTGGTGGACGCGTCCACTTAAAGTGGTGGACGCGTCCACCTTTCAAATTCGAGCAATGACTGTGGACGCCGTGAAATGGGGTCATAAAGCGTGGTACCTTTTCTGTACATTTCTACGGGGTGGACGCTGTCCACCCGGTCATTTTGGTTTTTACAATGACCGAGTCATTCCGAGTCATTTGTACTTAAAATGTGTACTGAGATCACGTAGACTCTACGCAGTCCCGTGGACGCTTCTCAAGTGACCACGTAGAATCCTACGCCGTCCACCAACTTGTACGGATCCCGTTTTACCCCGTCCACGGGATTGGCAATACCGTTTTTTTGCGTCCACGGGATTGAACCTATTACCGTTTTTGCCCGTCCACGGGATTGCACCCAATACCGTTTTGCCGTGTCCACGGGATTCAATTATGACGTCATTGGATTGATTGATTGAGACTGGAACTTCAACAACATACAAGTAGCTAGTACAGTAACAACAAACAACACAAAGTTGTCTGAAAGTTCAATCCACGCCACGTCTTCACTAGCTAGGCACTGGAAGATAGGTGGTCATCCTTCGCATTCTGATGGAGAAGAGTAGTGGAGAGCCAGGAACAGTGTGGAGGCTGCAGTATCCAGGCTTTGTCGCCAGCCTCCAACCGCGGGCAATCCAGTGTATGCGTGTAGGTAGATAGTAATCCATGTAGTAGTGTTGCATCGTCGTCGCCGTCTAGGTACCCAATCCAAATCGACATGATCCATTCAGCCATGATCCGACACCGAAAGGGAAGTCTTGAAGGCAAGTCAAGGCTTCGCGACAGTCGCGAATGCCATTGACATTCTTTGCTCATGATCCAGTCGGCCTTCTTGAGCGTTGCTTATAGACCGGTACAGGAAGTGTCAGCGCCAAACACCACATCACCGCATCACCATCGCGATCCAATCCAGAATGAATCGGAATCGAATCGATCCAATCGAATGGATTTCCCACCACCCCTAGTAGTGACTGTCACTCGATTTCTCACCATCAAACGCACCTGTCTACTTTGTATTTGTTTTTCTTTCATCGTACGCACCTGTTCATTGACTTTGTGAGTGCTCGGTGTACCGCCAGTACAAGAGACAAGTCCACACTATTGTATGCTGCTACCGGTAGGGCGATCCGTCGATCCGCCCCTGATAGTAACCCGTATTGAAATCAACGATGTGGCTATTTTAGAGTTCACTGGAACTACACTACCATAGCAGTATTGTTCAAATAACTGTTCCATAGAATTTTGAAATCAGCCAGACAGAGTGTCACCAACTTTATTTGGTTGGATGGTAAAAAGGGAGGATCGGATACTGTATTACCGATGATCATATCCATGGCACGGCTCGATTTGCCAATGGAGACACCTTTGTGACGTTTTACAAGGAAGACTTTGTTTCTCCCAAGGAATACAAGTCAGTCGTGCACAAAGTCGGGGACTTTGTGCCTTAATTGTGCACAAAGTCCAGGACTTTGTGCCTTAATTGTGCACAAAGTCCGGGACTTTGTGCCTTAATCGTGCACAAAGTAGAGGACTTTTGGGTCAGTCGTGCACAAAGTCGGGGACTTTGTGCCTTAATTGTGTACAAAGTCCGGGACTTTGTGCCTTAATCGTACACAAAGTAGAGGACTTTATGCGTCAGTCGTGCACAAAGTCGGGGACTTTGTGCCTTAATCGTGTACAAAGTCCGGGACTTTGTGCCTTAATCGTGCACAAAGTGGAGGACTTTATACGTCAGTCGTGCACAAAGTCGGGGACTTTGTGCGTTAATCGTCACAAAGTCGGGGACTTTGTGCCTTAATCGTGCTTAAAGTCGGGGACTTTGTGCCTTAATCGTGCTTAAAGTCGGGGACTTTATACGTCAGTTGAAGCACAAAGTAGGGGGTTTTATGCGTCAGAAGGTTGGCTTCTCCCTTCTACCGGTACTAATACGGTACGACTGTACGTTAAAATCTTTACAAGGGGTACATGTACGAACGGTACGAACGGATTGCCGCGGTACTATTTTTTTAAATAGCACAACCATTGTCACTGGGTTCGTACTGTATTGTAAAACACACACAAGAACAGACTGTCGCGAGTGGTAGAGGTCGACACAGCGCGGTAAAAAGGTGTTAAAAATGCAGTAGAACAAGGGGTCGGTAGAGCGCGGTTGAAGGTGGTTGCAACTGGTGAGCGGCGACGTTGCTCCTCCACTGCTCACGCCGTCAATTTCGAGAAGCTCCGTCATCGTCCGGTTGTACAGAAAGAACAAGAACCAGCTGTCACAGAAAGTACAAGCAAGCCGACCTCTTAGTCAAAACCCCAACCCTAATGACCACGGGAAGCACCGGAGCATGTTAGAAAGGTATTTTCGTATGACGGACAGACGACTCGGGATCCACAATCACGGTTCGTGATTGGGGATGTGTGACTCAAATCAGATGGGTATCCGATCATCATCAGATGGCCAGGTGTACAAGGAACGAGGACAATGGTCGTCTAGATGATGCAACTACAAAGGTTAGGAAGTTAGGTGGAAGAGATGAATGCAAGGAGCGACGGGATGGAACAAATGAATGGACGGATGAAGGTCCATAGGTTTAGTAAAGTGGGAAAGCCCTCCAGGGCCAACCATGCACTTCAGGAAGATAGATCGACGAGATCTATCTGCAAGATGAAACTGCGAGAAACAGAGGATCGAAAGATCCTGGTATATGTATGCATATCGGAGCTCAGTTGTAGAGCTCACAATCTGAACGAGAGAGAAAGAGAAAACGAAACAAATAGCCAGTCTACTAGACAGTAGAGCTGGAAGGATATTGATTAAATTAGAGAAATTGTGCGTTCAAGTTCACACCTTTTCAACAGGAGCAGGAAAGTGGCTGCGGCCGTAGCGTGCGTTGTTTTTGCTGCCATGGTGATGAACATAAACCTCGCGCTTTCCTTCAGGATAGAATAAACGGCAGGCGAACATCTCGCTTCATGAGCGGCTCTCAACTGAGGAAGACTTCAATTTTGCCACTTGAAGAGTAACCGCAGCGTCCTCGGTCGACTGGATTATCCACTCGCCTCCAAAACCTGCCTTGGAGAATCGGTGGTATCCATCCCATGGACTCTCTGAAGAAGGAAATCTTGAGTTGAATCGAAGCGGTGGCGATCCATTCAGATTGTATCGCTTGGTTTTTGGGACTTCACCAGCTCAATGGTAAGATAAAAGTCTCGAGTTGAGTGGAAAACGAGCAATTCCGGAGGTCGACCAGCCACGACGCCATCTTCTTCACACAATGGGATGGTCCATATGTTCCACTCAGTAAGAAGGCATTTCCTGGCGCTAAATGAGCGCTTTTGTCGTTAGATTTCCCATGGTCACTGCGGTGAAGGCATCAGGCCGGTCTCTACCGGAGCGACTAAAGTAGCGACTAAAGGAGTACTTTAGCACCTTGTTTAGTCGCAGATTTAGTCCGTACCCTTTAGTCACGGAGGTGTCTACCCGCCACGGACTAAATCTTCAACTAACCAGTTTAGTCGATATTTTAGTATAAACTTTAAGAAAAACGTTATCTACCACGATCGACTAAACGTTTCGACTAACCAACGTTTTCGTTTTGGATTTCGCTATTTCGCTAGCCATTGGATTTCGCTAGAGCCATTGATTTCGCTGCTAGCCTCTTGTTCATTTCGCTAGCTAGTTCTTTATTGTTATTGTTATTACTGCACTGATAGACCATGGCCAACACCAAGAAGAAGGCTAGTGAAGAGGCGGAGGTTCCCTCTGGGGAGGAAGAAGAGGAAGAGGAAGTACCGCCGAAAGAACGAGAGGAAGAAGCTTCTGATGATGATGATGATAATAAGGACGATGAGAGTATGGACACTGCAGCCCTTGGAAAGGAGCTTTTGCAATACACGGCTCTTAGCCTTATTCGCGACTCGATCCTAGAT